CTCTCGCCCACCACCGCCTTCAGCCCAGCCGGCGCCATGAGCCCGGAGAGTCCCGGTTCGGGTCTGGCCACTTCCGCGTTGGGAGGCGGGCGGAGCCCATTTCGGCCTAGGTGCCGGCCCTCCCGCCCGGTCCCACCCCTTTGCGGGAAGGAGGCGCTGCTTCAGCGGAGGTCTCTCCCTTGAGGCGGTGGGTGCCGGCCGCGGGGCCGTCCCGCCAGTCCCGAAAGGTCTGAAGTGTAGCTGCTCAGAATCCTTTTAAGACACAGAAGAGATGGGGTTATGAGGAGAACCCATCTGCGTAAGAACTTTATCCAGCCACTGGAGGGGACCGTGCAAATGAATCTCAATCCAACATGGTGTACTTGTGACATCTTGTCGGTGATACTCAGCTCCCCAGCCCTAGAAAAAGAGAAGTGTGAAGGGTATAGCATCATTTGATCTTGCTGGAGGAATATTCCCATTGTGGGAATACAAAGATATTAAATATTGTATTCAGTAAATCTCCCACATTTACTTTTTTTAAAAAATGCACTAATTTTCTGTTCTCTGAAAGGAAAAGTATTTACTGATGTTAACACAGTCACTGATGCAGTCTCAATCTTCTGCACCTAGTGTGCTAACTCCATACACACTACTATCTGTACAGTATCCAGCATTATCTCCACTCCCTGCAAAACCGCAAAGTGGAAGCTGCACAAACCCAGCAATGTTACTCTGGTGTAGGAAGTTTCTGCCTATGCATTGCACAGAGGCACTTTTGTGTATTGCAGAAAAACCGGCTGTATCCACCCCGACACTCTGGCTAGAGCTACACTGACAAATTTATTTGCAACCTATCTTATGCTTTTTAATTTAGTGGTCCCATAGCGCCTGCTACTTGACTTGGAGTCAGTAACTACACTGGTTCTTCAAGGCAACCTGCCTTTCAACCCATAGCCCCCTCTCTTCCCACCTCTGCTGAACCTTTATGGTTCGCTGTCAAGCTGCTTGATTTTTCAAGGGTTGTAGGACATTAGGGAAAAGGCAAGAGCTTTCCAAAGTTCTTCATAATGTATACAGAAATATACAGACCTACCGTAGAAACATATGCAGTAGAAACATATGCAGTCTCCTGTGTTTCATCAGGGCTGTTTCTATTTTGTAGCAATTTTTTTTATTTTTTATTCTGAACAGAGGCCACTTAACTAGGGTATCAGTGCAGTGACTCTACAGTAAACTCATTTATTTTAAAATAAAATTCAGGAACACTCAGGGCAGATCTCAGAGGCAGCTGTTCCTGTAGTCTTTAAACATCAGTCCCCTACTGCCTATGTCACCACAACACCATCCACAACCAGAAACCAACCCCCCTTTTCTTCTGCAGAACGAAACAACTGATCACATAAGGAAAAGTCCGTTCAAATCGTTCCAGCTTGAAAAATGTAGAAGCCCCCAGTAGCAGAGAAGAAACTCCGCACTGGGAGCAAAGAGAGCCAAACTGATTCAAATTAGCCTTTCTGTTGTGTAACAAGTTTTTAAAAAATTACATTAAATTCATCCATTTTATACCTACAGCAAATCCTGTGGTATTTGTCTGTTTAGTCACAGCCTCTATCTGTTGGTGGGAGCTCTCCAGCCACTTCCACAATTAGCAGCAGAAGAAACAAGACAATTTTTCTTAAATTGTACCTTAGGATTATATCAGTATTAAAATCTGTGGTGACTGGTCTATTAAGTTATGTGCAGCTATGCCTGGCCATGAGGAAGTGGCATTCCTCTAGATGTTGTTAGATTTTAATTCCCTGTCTCCTCTACCAGTTCCAGGACACCTTGCAGGTGTGCCAGCTGTGGTGACTGGTCTATTAAGTTATGTGCAGCTATGCCTGGCCATGAGGAAGTGGCATTCCTCTAGATGTTGTTAGATTTTAATTCCCTGTCTCCTCTACCAGTTCCAGGACACCTTGCAGGTGTGCCAGACCTGGAGTGCCACAACATGGGTGCTGTATGCCCTGGAGGCAAGCAGCAAAGTCTCCTTCCCCACTAGTGGTGGCCGATCAGCTTCAAGCGCACCTGCATGAAACAGATGCCCTGGATCCATTTCAGTCGGGCTTCAGGCCGCGCCATGGCACAGAAACGGCATTGGTCGCCCTGTGTGATGACCTACTGAGGGAGGCTGACAGGGGCAAAGTGTCCCTGCTGGTCCTCCTTGACATCTCAGCGGCCTTTGATACCATTGACCACGGTATCCTCCTGGGGAGGCTCTCCGAGTTGGGAATTGGTGGCCTCGCATTGGCTTGGCTCCGTTCCTTCTTGGAGGACCGCCCCCAGAGAGTGCAGCTTGGGGAGAGCGTCTCGGCCCCGTGGAATCTCAATTGTGGGGTCCCACAGGGGTCGATCATCTCCCCAATGCTGTTTAACATCTATATGAGGCCGCTGGGTGGGGTCATCAGGGGGTGTGGAGCCCAGTGTCATCAGTATGCCGATGATACTCAGCTCTACATCTCCTTTCCACCTACCGCAGGAGAAGCCGTTCTGTCCCTTCAGCGCTGCCTGGGGACCGTACTGCAATGGATGCAGGAGAACGGGTTGAGGCTGAACCCAGACAAGACGGAGGTACTAAGGGTGGGTGCCCCCACAGTCGGGAACTTGGGAAACTCCCTCTCTTTTGGGGGGGGCAGCAGCTGCTCCATAGGTACGGGTGGCCATCCTCTCTAAAGGACATGGTCAAGCTCTACCTGGAACTGACTGGGCTCTCCAGTGCAGTGCGGTGCAGAAGGAGGAGGAGGTACAGGAGGATGGCCTTATGAGTGGTCATAGGTAAGCTGATTGGGAGGCCTCTGCTGTGGGGCCGCTTGGCCCTCCTACTTCCTTTGCTGGTGGCATGCCTGTCACTAGTTCTCAAGCCTCTGAGTCTCTTGCCACCTGGCGTTGTGTTGGTGAACCCAGGCAGCCTCCTCTGGTGGCACTAGCAGCTCAACATAAAGCATCAGGATCATGGTGGCAGATGGTCTCCCAGCCGACTGTCAATTGCTCTGGCAATGGCAGTACCTCTTGGGCCCTGAACGCCTCCCAGTCCATGACGTCCACCCAACAGTCTTTCACTCTCCTCCTTAAATCCTGTCTTGGCCATTGCTACACCTGTGGCCTCGAGGTCATCATCCAAATCTCCTCTGACAACACCCCAGTCCACAGGTGAACTATGGTTTAGGAATCTTGCCCTGACTCTCTGGGAGGTGGAGAGCACACTCTCAAGGGTGGGGGAATTGTTGCCAATCCACACCATGTCAGGTTAGGGTCTCTTAGAACTCGAAATGCAAGCAGATAGTGAGGGAATAGGAACTCGGCTGCTTTGACTGTTGCCAAAGGGATGATATGTCATAAACAGATACCATCTCTTATTTTGAGATGTCATCTCTCAAAATGAGTCTCCTGAGCAACTTCCAGCCCCTCTCCAAAATCAAAGAGAATGAAGTACCTGGCCTAAAAGGGGAACAGGGAATGTCTCCTCCTCAGTTAACTTCATAGTTAAGGGATACTGTGAGGTGGCTCCACAAAACTTCCATGATTTAGCACATAATAGCAGTGTCCCCGACTCAAAATAAATGTTGTAATGAGATGTGAAGTTGGCCTAAGTCACTTTTCACAGATCCCTGTGTTCCCATGACTTCATAAACATTCAAAATTAGTGGGAGGCCAAAAACTGGTTGAACAAGTTTAGGCTGCTTGCTAAATCCTCACTAGCTAGCCAATAACTCTTCATGGTCAGCAGACATCTGAACTTATGCCTTCTTACCACTCTGGTAAGGAATGTGATCATGGGACAATAATGTGTGGACAGAGCAAAAGAGTTGCAGCAACAGCTATGTTTCTGGGAGACTGGAACCCTCTTATAATCTTAGGCTACCCAGCAGGGCTTTTGTCAGAGTAGAGTAAGGGGTGGACCATAGATGCTGCCTTGAGTGTACTGAAGGAAAGGCAAGATACAAATTCAGTTCTTTAAAAAACCCTCTGGTTTATGAATGTGGGATATTGTGCTTCTGTACCCATGATTCAAAAAGCAGGAAATGGCCCAATAGTGCTGCACAATGTTGCGCTTGTGTTGCCAGCAGGAAAAAGTTTTACATAAAAAAGGGAACCCTGAATGTTGACAGCACCAGTGGCAGCAGAAAAGGTAGTCTGCTGTGCAGCATAGGTTCTTAACCTGTGGTCTGCAGACCACCAGGGAACTGCAGTGTCCTCACAAGGGGGGTCCACAAAGGCTTGAAAAAAATGTTTTGATCTTTTGCAATTAAAATTGAATGAATGAATGAATGAATGAATGAATGAATGAGTGAGTGAGTGAGTGAGTGAGTGAGTGAGTGAGTGAGTGAGTGAGTGAGTGAGTGAGTGAGTGAGTGAGTGAGTGAGTGAGTGAGTGAGTGAGTGAGTGAGTGAGTGAGTGAGTGAGTGAGTGAGTGAGTGAGTGAGTGAGTGAGTGAGTGAGTGAGTGAGTGAGTGAGTGAGTGAGTGAGTGAGTGAGTGAGTGAGTGAGTGAGTGAGTGAGTGAGTGAGTGAGTGAGTGAGTGAGTGAGTGAGTGAGTGAGTGAGTGAGTGAGTGAGTGAGTGAGTGAGTGAGTGAGTGAGTGAGTGAGTGAGTGAGTGAGTGAGTGAGTGAGTGAGTGAGTGAGTGAGTGAGTGAGTGAGTGAGTGAGTGAGTGAGTGAGTGAGTGAGTGAGTGAGTGAGTGAGTGAGTGAGTGAGTGAGTGAGTGAGTGAGTGAGTGAGTGAGTGAGTGAGTGAGTGAGTGAGTGAGTGAGTGAGTGAGTGAGTGAGTGAGTGAGTGAGTGAGTGAGTGAGTGAGTGAGTGAGTGAGTGAGTGAGTGAGTGAGTGAGTGAGTGAGTGAGTGAGTGAGTGAGTGAGTGAGTGAGTGAGTGAGTGAGTGAGTGAGTGAGTGAGTGAGTGAGTGAGTGAGTGAGTGAGTGAGTGAGTGAGTGAGTGAGTGAGTGAGTGAGTGAGTGAGTGAGTGAGTGAGTGAGTGAGTGAGTGAGTGAGTGAGTGAGTGAGTGAGTGAGTGAGTGAGTGAGTGAGTGAGTGAGTGAGTGAGTGAGTGAGTGAGTGAGTGAGTGAGTGAGTGAGTGAGTGA